AAGAGATCTACAATCACAATATCCACTTTCACTAGTATGAATCGAATGCCCAAAAATTTTCAATATAGATCTATTTGAATAATTATTGATTTATTCATAGAAAAACCTATAGATTCTATTTAATTAAATGAATTGAAGACCTCTCATTTGAAGATATAAAAATAACGTGAATTGAACTGAATAGGTCTAGATCTAGAACTGATTTGAGTCAGAATGATCTCTGTAATTCTTTTAAAAAGCGCTCTGCAAATTAATTAATTTATTGAGGTTTTGAGTTGAGTTATTAAAAATTTAAAGATGGGCCTACTTTGTAAATCAATTTGAGCGCGGTAAAATTAAAGTTATCTTTAATGCGATGTTAACTAATGTATGCTAAATCTACATATTATACTTACAGTAGAGTTTCTTTATATCTAAATATTTTGAAATATCTGTAAAATATTTGGGGAGGTATTCCATGAATACTTAAGATATCTAAAATTGTATTTCAGCACTCTAAAATTTGAATTCAATAGCTTTATAATTTAATTGATCTGTAGCGAACTATGAAAAATATAGAGGTTTCCTATTATAATCAATTAGAGACCTCTTCAGTTTATTTAAAGATCTTTTAAAACAACTGAAATATAGGTCTTATCAGCTAAATTGGAGAGGTCTTCAATTTATTTATCGTGCGCTTGAAAAGTTTTTTTTTTTATACATTGTATCTAATTGAATTAGAGACCTCTTCAAATATTTGAGTATAATTTATGCAAATTTGACGTTCATTTAGAGGGACATACAGCTCGTTCTTAAATTTTAAATAGGAAAGATCGTTTACTTAATTTTGGGCATATATAATACGTATATGTACCTTGCTGAACATTTTAAGATCGAGGCACGGATAAGTTATTATTTAAAGACTAAGTACGTGCTGGGAAAATAATATTTAATCTGCCCTAGGTTCGTGTTAGAGGCTACATGTACATGTATATTGAGGTGAAGATATAGTGATCGAGAAAATCTATCAAGATCTAAACGTCATATTTTTTTGCAGCACATACATGTAAGGGTGTGGAGGTCCAAAATGCATTATTTAAAAATCCAAACAAATTTGTATTAATGATACAAATAAAACCTAATATACGTTGTTTTGAAAATAAAATCATATTTCAATGTCCATCATAATCTAGGACATTATCAGAAGACACATACATGTAGCCTGGGTTCCAGTCTGTCGATTTTTTATGTGCTTCTGTTTGGCAAATTGACACTATCAAAACCAGAGATGTTGTTTTATCTATGACGATCGAGTATGAAATTGCGCGAATGTTATGAATAAGCAAAAATATCAACGCCCGAATCCCAGGCTAAGTAGACCTACGTTATATCGGTACAAGCCGACAACGATTTTTGTCAGTATTCGCATGCATATTAGTTTCTTCCAAGCGCTTGTTCGACACAGACCAAGGACATTTCACGGAAGACGCCGGTAAGGTTCAAGTTTGATTAAATTATATCAGGTATTGAGCATTTATATTCTTTTTTACTTAGACATTAAGCAATATTAAATCAAATGAGTTCGTAGCTATGACGTTTAAAATGAAAATACTATTTAAATCGCTTAAATTTGCATATTTTCGGGAGTGACCTTGACTTTTTGAGATTTTTTTTGTCGATTGTGCTTTCTGTAACCTTGACATTGAATGATATTTCCTTGTACAACGGCCTTGTCAGGTCATTTCAAGAAATCCTGTCTCTTTCTTTCTGCAAGGTTCCTAGTGATAACAAGAAAAATGCCTATCAAATCAGTGAAAGCTCGTCAGATCTTCGACAGTAGAGGTAACCCAACAGTTGAAGTTGATGTTACTACAGAAAAAGGTAATTTATTTTAATTTATCTTTTTAATTGATTTGAGCAAGTAGTAGTGTAATGGATATTTTTGCAATTTGAGCATGTATGAATCATGAAGTGCCTTTACCCTGACAACATGAGGGGTGAAGTGTCTTTGTTTCCAGAAACAATCAAACATTGACATTGTTCTGCAACATGACAGACCTTAAAATCAGAGAATATATAATCAGTTTAGTAAAATTGCAGCAAAAGAACAAAAATATCCTTTTATTCTCATTTGAAACAACTCTTTTACAGTGTTTCTGCCAGCTCTGATTTTCTGAGGGTCTTTTATGACCCCCTGTATGATATTTTAGGGGTCATTTCAAATTCAATAGGGTCATGCCAATAAATTTAACAAAAATGTAAAAAAAAAAACAGGTAACACTTTATAAGTTTTATTTACAATATTTTGTATATTTTTCGTGAAGAAATTGGTCAATCTCTGCTATTTTGGATTATTTGTCATCCAATAATAACGCTGTATTTCTTAAAAAATTATGTGTGTTAATTTTTCATAGAAGAAAGAAAGTCGATACTATATTGAAATTCGTTCATAGTCGCCTTCTATTTTTCATAGTGCTTCATAGTACCGCCTAGTGACGTAATCAAGGGCCAAATAAAGCTTGACACTAAATATGTTAGTGTTCATCCTTAGCTGTTTTACAGAAATTAGAAACATTCTCCTGTCGCTATCCCTCCCTTCGAAGTTTCTAATTTCTGTAGAACAGCACAGATGAACACTAACATATACGCAGACTGCATTTTCCAGCAGACAGTTATTCGTTTGCAGAATATGACGACAACAAAATAAATAATTTTGTCTGGGCGCTTTCAATATATGCAGTAACGTATAAATGCAAGCGTTTATTAACTAGTTGAAAATTGGGCTAAATGCCGGACCACGGACCGGTAAATTTCATTTCTCATTAAATTATAGTGGAGCCCACGGTAAACATTCCGTACATTTTTATACTGAATTGACGGTTTATAGTCTGTATATCTGACTTGTGTTGAAATCAGCGACGGTGAAATTCTTGCGTCACAAAATACGCACTAACTAAATTTCATTGCGTCATGGCTGAAAATAGTGCGCCAAAAACGCAAAAACGCGCTCTGGCAGAAACACTGCTTTTAACTTTTTTGTGATTTTGATAAGATATATAAATTGACATTAATGGAAGATATATAGATAGAATATTCATTTGTTCATATAACATAAGAGATATATATGTAGGTATGGAGGCTAGTAGCCATTGTAACCATATGTTAGGGGTGCATTTGGATCCATAATTCCTTTCTTATGAGTCCTGAAATTATAATATGTCACACTCTTATGACAGTTAATAACTTAAAAGTTAAAACTGACAAGACTGCAAAGAGTCATTAACTCAGTAACTAGTACATCAACTTTAACATATTTAGTTTAAAATTAATTCAGGATTCTGCATCCTGTAAAACCCAGTAAAGATTTTTGTTGTGCCATTATAAGTTTGGAAAACTTGGTCTTCAAAAATAAAAAAAAAAAATCAATAGTAAATGCAAAGGAACTTGTTCAAGGGAGAAACAAGCAATAAGCTTGATGCCCATATATTATTTGCGTTGCATCAATGTAAATGATTATTCTTTTTTACTTATTCTGACAATATTATTCTTTTTTACTTATTCTGACAAAATATCAACAAAAAATTTATACCATTAATCAATATTAAATGTAAATAAAAATGACCTTACAGTTAATTTTCATAACTTTACCAACACATTGTTTATGTTGAAAATATTCTTTGTAAATGCATTTTGATATTTTACAAGGCCAAAAAGATTATTTAATGCTAAAATTCCCATATTGTAAAATGCTATGATATAAAATTTGCTATAGAAAACATACATTAAGTTTTCAATTTGTATCAGTAAATTCAGTATGACTTATCATGGTCATTGTAACAAATGGTTTATTTGACGATATACATACATGTACTTGGATTTATCAATTTTGTGCACCATAATTCTAATATCACAAGCAGGAATTTTATTTGGCTTATTTTATAGCCGATGTTCGGTCATATTCCCAGTTGAAAATAGTACATTGTATATTATTTTCCCAATCCACTGGAAAATTTTCCCAGTTGAAAATTTCAAAATAAAAATATTGAATAGCAAATTCTATATCTTTGAAAATAAGGGTTTCTTCACTATTATGGTGCTTAATTGTTTGAAGATGCCGTGCTAGACAGTGATTCTTTTCATTCATTTAATAACTACATGTACAAAATTTAAGTACTGTATTTTTTCCCAATTTTAACAAAGCATCACCGAAAGTTGTCTGGTTACAGGTATATACTAGAATATGGTATTTAGTTTGGTGCTCCAACACTTTTTTAGTCTCACTCATATCAAAATAACTGCATATAAATACACAATCATGATTTAATTGCATGAAAGATTACTTTAGAACACAGAAAGAAACCATAAAGAAGCTATATTGAGAGAAAAAAAACAGGTCTACATACCCATACATTAAATCAAACAAAGAATACATGATCAAACTACTTTTTCAGGACTGTTCCGGGCTGCTGTGCCAAGTGGAGCATCCACTGGTATTTATGAAGCTTTGGAAATGAGAGATAAAGGCAAGCCCTATCATGGAAAGGGTAAGGATTTCAAATTACTCATCTTTACAATAAATGTTTTCTCATTGACACAGTAGTTAGTTAACATTTTAAAGATACACATTATTTTAATGGAATCATTGGAATGAATGAATAATATAAATAAGTAATAACATTCTGATATTGTAACAAGATGTTTCTAGAAGATAAAAAAGCCTTAGTTATTTGTGTTTACAGGCTTTTTCAGATTAAATTTTAGCTGCCCAAAATATCAGGCTCAGTGTTTCAATTTCTGAGAAAAACAGATCATTTTTGACTTGTATCTTAAAAGAAGTGCCAGGTTATATTTTTATCATATGAGTATACACACAAATAAAATCTTATAATCATATGCCAGATAAATAATTGTTCCCAATTCAATATTAAGAATTAAGGTGGTAGTTTATGACAACATGCCCTCTATTGCAGGTGTAATGAATGCTGTCAACAATGTTAACAACACTATTGCTGGATTAGTTATGGTAAGTATGATAATAATAATAATAATAATAATAAAGACTTTATTTAAAGAGGCAACATAGTTAGGCAAGCCCAGTCTTCCCTATGAGCCTCTATCAAAAATGTACATATATACAGTTACAAACAAAGACTTATATAAACAAAGAAAGAAAACTAAATGTATACAAGTTATACAACAAAGAAAAGTTGAGTAATTGAAAAATGCAATAAGAAAATGAATACAAACATTTGAAAGTATGAAATTGTACATTTTATGAGACATACATGTATATATGTGATATTAAAACATAGCTAGATTATTTGGTGCCCACCAGAGAACCCACCATTTAAGATAATTTGTTTTTGAATGTTTGTAAGTTGGAAGAATTTCTTATGTTTAAAGGGAGGGAGTTCCAAAATTTTGAGCCTGAATATGATAGGGATTTTCTGCAGAATTCAATTCTTGGTTTGGGGACTAAAAGAAGTTTTTGTTCATATGATCTTAATGATTTATTTTCTGTATTTGTAAAAAGATTTTGCATATAATCAGGGAGAAGATTGTTTAGGGACTTGTATACTAAAATGGCCTTTTTATAATTCACTCTATCAGAGAATTTCATCCAGTTCAATTCAGAAAATAACTCATCAGTAGGCGCATCAAAATCTTTATCAAGTATTATTCTTGCTGCACGTTTTTGAAATTTATACATGTCGTTTAAGAGTTCCTTACTGCAATTACCCCAAATAGGCAACAATAGTCTAAATGAGGAAGAATGTATGCATTAAAGAACATTTTCCTAACTTGAAGATTTAGAAATGGTTTAATTCTCAGAAGTAGATATAGTAAGGAATTGCATTTATTCAGCGTCATCTTGACATGTGTTTTCCAATTAAGTGTATGATCAACATGGACTCCTAAAAGTTTTTCTGTTTCTGAGAATTGAATGCTTTCATCTTGCAGAGTGATGTTGAAATCACTAGAATTATTGATGATATTGTAGATATTATGTGAAGGGGAAATAATCATTGCTTTGGTTTTTTTGGCATTTGGAATCATTGAATTTCTCGTACACCATTGTTGAATAGAGTCAAGGTCAGACTCAAGATTTATACAGATTGAATTGATAGCTTGTCCAAATACTGTAATGGAAGTGTCATCAGCAAACATATTTGAAATGGAATGTGATAAGTGCAAAGGCATGTCATTTATGTAAATAATGAAAAGAAGAGGGCCTAAAACTGAGCCTTGAGGTACACCAGATGTAACATCTTGAGCATTAGAGTATTTTCCTGACACACATACTTGTTGTGAACGATTACTTAAATATGATCTGAACCAAGAAATTGAATTTTTATCTATTTTATACAATTTTAGTTTTTTTAATAACAATTCATGATTGATTAAGTCAAATGCTTTTGTAAGGTCAAGAAATATTGTCCCTATAAGTTTCTCTTCATTTATTGCTTTAATCCAGTTGTCAACAATTGAAGTTAGAGCCGTTTCACATGAATAATTTGTGCGAAAGCCAGATTGATTTGGTTGAAAAAGAGAGTTAGCTTCAAGAAATGATTTTAAGTGATCACTAACATGTCTTTCTAGAATTTTTGACAGGACTGGTAGTATTGAAATTGGTCTGTAATTGCTTACTTCATTCTTGTTGCCCTTCTTATGTATAGGTGTAACTTTTGCTTTTTTAAATATTGAAGGAAATATGCCATTTGATATACTGAGATTAAATATCTTTTCTAAGGGTTTGGAAATAATTTTAGAACTGATTTTAAGAAATTTAGGTCCTATACCATCTAGACCAGTTGATTTTTTGAAATCAAGAGATTGAAGTTCTTTGATTATGAATTGTTCAGTAATTTCTGGTACTCTTCTCAGAAGCAACTAACCCATACACAAAATAAATTAAAGACATAATAAAGAGTTGCAACAGTTTAAGATTACAGCAGGATATAAGTGCCAAAACATTAATAAATTAGTTTTTTTATGCCCCCGAAGGGAGGCATAATATAATCGCATCGTCTGTCTGTGCATCCCCACTTCATATGTGTTCAGAATGTAACTTTGACATAAATTAAGGGATTTTGAAATAACTTGGCACAAATGTCTACCACATGAAGACGAAGTGTCCATCCAAGGACCAAGTCCCTACCTCAAAGGTCAAGGTCACACTATCATTTTGAAGTTTCACATTATCACAATTAGAATTAATAGGTACACACAATTGTGTCTGGGCTGTAACTTTGTAATGCATGGAAGGATTTTAAAATAACTTGGCATAAATGTCTACAACATCAAGACGATGTGTCCTGTCCAATTATCACGTCCCTACCTCAAAGGTCAAGGTCACGCTACCATTTTGAAGTTAGCTTTATTACAATTAGAGTTTATGGGTACACACATTCATGTCCGGGCTGTAACTTTGTCATGCATCAAAGAGTTTAAAAATATCTAGGCATAAATGTCTACCACATCAAGACGACATGTCGTGACAAAGACCCATGTCCCTACCTTCAAGGTCACACTTAAAGTTTGAAGGTACTCATTCTCTGGAGAAGAGTTTAAAGATACACATTCATGTCAGGACTGTAACTTTGTCATGCATGGAAGGATTTTGAAATAACTTGGCACAAATGTCTACCACATCAAGACAATGTGTCTCGGCTAAGGCACATGTCCGTGTGTTACCACTTACACAACAATCATGTGCAGACTGTAACTTTGTCATGCATTGAGGGATTTTGAAATAATTTGGCACAAATGTCTATCTCATAACAACATTTTGTCGCGTCTAGGAACCACATCCCTTCTTCAAAGGTCCAGGTCACGTTTATATTTTGAAGGTTCATGCTATCACAATTAGAGATTACAGGTACAATAATACAAAGAACAATATTCAGCAATAAGTTGCTTTCATTCTCTTTTCTTATCATAATACCTGCAAGCTTAAGAAACCTTTTCAAGGGCATTCATCACTTGGGTGACAGCTCTTGTTTTTTAAAGAAAATTGAAAAGGAAAGTTCAAGTTTTGTACCTGGCATAAAAAAACTAAAGCTTTAAAGTTGCTATGTAACCATGGAAGGTGGTGACTTCAGATATTTTCAAGCAACCAGTAATTATTAGTTTGCCTTACATTGAACAGTCAAACTTATTTCCTTATTTTCAAAGCAACAAGTGGTTTACAAAATGCTAGGTAATGCATTTTTTTATAATTTTGTGAAAGGATCTTTACATGGAATACTCTTAACTAAAAAATGCAAGAAATATGTGAAGTCTTGTTTCAAATGCCTTACTTTGTCATTTTTTGATTTAGGGAATGAATGAAGTTGAGCAAGAAGCTATTGATAAGAAGATGATCAGTACTGACGGAACTGAAAACAAAGGTGAGTTTATATTAAAGGGACTCTACTGAGTTGATATTAAAGGGACTCTACTGAGTTGATATTAAAGGGACTCTCCTAGGTTGATATTAAAGGGACTCCACTGATTTGATATTAAAGGAACACTGCTGAGTTTATATTAAAGGGACTCCACTGAGTTGATATTAAAGGGACTCCACTAAGTTGATATTAAAGGAACACTACTGAGTTGATATTAAAGGGACTCCACTAAGTTGATATTAAAGGAACACTACTGAGTTGATATTAAAGCAGTCCAAGCGAAACATCGTCGGACCGTCGGTCATGTCCGGTAATTTTTTGAAAGGTCCGACAAATTTAGAAAGTTCTCCGGAATTACTGTCCAGTAATTTTTTTTAGCAGTAGAACTATAAAAAAAGAAACTCTTTTCACGTTTCTAGGCACTCTATCTCCAGTTTGCTTAGAAAGCAAAAACAATGTCGCCCTTATTAGGATAAACACGTGCAATAATTTTCCAATTGTCAAAATCTTCCACGCTCCGCCTATATCGTAACGGTCTGTTAAACCAATTTTCATTGGCCGGTATAATTGGAAAACCAATGAAACGCGGCGATACAACTGAGCGGATGTTGGAAGTCAACAGGTGACATCTCCGGAGTGTTGATATTTGCCGATCAAATACATGTACATGTATCAACAAACAGCAATATTAACAGATGTCAATTAAGACCAATAAAGGACATACATAGCGCATAAATTGCTTAGTGCATAAATTTGTCGGTAAGTCTAGTAATCATGTTGATATACATGTATGTTTGCTTTACAAAAACTTGTCGCCAAAAACTTCAGTCAAACATTTTGATTTTTACAATTTTTTTTGTCAAATGCTTCAATGGCGCATGAAAATGATAGGTAAATAAACTTCTGTAAACACTCGTAGTGGTGAATACCCGATGATTATTCTTTATAAGAATTTCTGTAAGAACAGTTGTAAATAATTTAAAAGAAGTTAAAATTTATTTGTGATGATGATCGTGATGCTCGAATATTAAATGTAACTTAAAGTATTTATTAGAGGACAATATTATTTATAATTCAGTGGAAAAAAACAACATCCATATGAACCTTATTAAGTTTATATTAACTACGACTCTGAACTGTCAAGAAATACTTTTTTGGGGAAATATTGAAATTGATGAATTATATGATTTACTAAAAAGTGTTTTTACTTTTTTTATTTCAGCACAAAGTCACTTGGCTGCAGTGACTAAATCAAAACAAGCTACATGAAACCTATGATAATGATGATAGAGAAGAAAAAACATAAGACTGCCTGCAAAGCATTCAGTTCATTAATGATTTTACAACATTTGTAGTTTTGCTGTTTATTGTTACAAAATAATATTTAATAAACTTTTACGTGCATGCATTGTTTTAGTCAACCTAATGTTTGGTCAATCTTATTTAAAATGGAATATCAACACTTCAAAAAATGCAATTTGTATGCACTTGCCCCCAAAAACTTATCCCTAATAATTACTATAAATGGGGAAAATTATACAAATTTTTTAGGTCCTGTAATTGTCACCGAGGTCCTGTAAAATACCAGGTTTCACAGGACCTATTGTCCTGTAAGATCATTTCAAGTTTCACTGGGACTGTTAAAGGGACTCCACCAAGTTGATATTAAAGGGACTCCACTGAGTTGATATTAAAGGGACTCCACCAAGTTGATATTAAAGGGACTCCACTGAGTTGATATTAAAGGGACTCCACCAAGTTGATATATAAGGGACTCCACTGAGTTGATATTAAAGAAACACTACCGAGTTGATATTAAAGTGACTCTCCTGAGTTTATATTAAAGGGACATTGCTGAGTTGATATTAAAGGGACTCCACCAAGTTGATATATAAGGGACTCCACTGAGTTGATATTAAAGAAACACTACTGAGTTGATATTAAAGTGACTCTCCTGAGTTGATATTAAAGGGACTCCACCAAGTTTATATTAAAGGGACTCCACTGAGTTGATATAAAAGGGACTCTACCAAGTTGATATTAAAGGAACTCCACATAGTTGATATTAAAGGGGCTCCACTGACTTGATATTAAAGGGACTTTACTGACTTGATATTAAAGGGACTCTACTGAGCTTTTTTTGTTAAGCTGGGGGTGGCCATTTGATGGTAGGCCTTGACCAATTATAACTTTTTTTTTTGCAAAATTTCTGGTCATTTTTTCATACATTGTTCCTTAATAATCATTTAAATTGTGCAAAATGATCACAAATTTGAAAGCAATTCAATGTTAAGCTGAATCAGGCTGAGAGTTGCTTAAATTTAATTTTGAGAATATTTCTGTATTATCTACTGCATATTATTCAAATTTGAGTGCCCCTGTCAATCTTTGTAAGAATTTCAAGTTTTATATATTTAAGTCTTTGGGCCTCAGGGGAATCTCTTTAAACCTTCATCTGTTGAAACTGAAAGAGGTTAGCATTAACTGTAAGAGGTTAGCATTAAGCGCTTGTTGGTAGCTCAAATTTGGTATTTCGAAATAAAAAATGACAATTTGTCATTGATAGTGATTTTAAGTGATGTTTCATTATTTCACAGTTATTAAGGGGGCAGATGTCGGGTTTAACGACATCCCTTGTTTATCTGATAATATCATCAAAAGATTGCTCTTTTATTAGCCAGCTAACCGTTTGGCTACAATTCCTATTTATTACACAATATTTGTGAAATTTATAACGTAGTAAAGAACGCATTAACAAAATTGTGTCCTTCATTTTGACAGATAAGTGAGTTAAAATAGCTCGTTATCATCAATTTCATACTTAAACCCATAGTCTGATTAAAAGATTATATTTTATGAACATCAAAGTGAGTGAGTGACATTTTAAGATGGATGGTTTAACTAATATTAGCAAGAGATTAATCCCCTAATACCATATAATTAATCAATAAATTCCGATTCACTTGACATGTTTTATTGATTGTTATCAAGCTCCGAATATGATTGAAATAAAATCCACACCTTTTTTTTTGACAAAATTGTCTTTTTGCAATGAAGACGGGTATTAAAGAGAAAACTGGGAATTGTTGTGTATTTTATAACTTATGGGGGCCATACATCTGTCTCTATTTTCATTTTTAACTAAAAATCAAAGCCTAATAAAAAGTATTTTTTATAGAGTTCCTTTTAATTTCTATGACACTTGAATGATTTTATCAATCTTGCCTAACAAGTCCTAAAGTTAACAAATCCTTACAATTTGCTATCATATTTCATTTTAACAATATTTGTCCTGAAAGCTTAAGTTATGAATTTATAATTTCTAGTTTATATTAATATGTTTGGTAACATCATGCCAGTAGAATAACATATTGTAAGAATTAATGCATTGATCCAACGTTGTATTTTGCAGCATTACAAAATTAAAAAAAAAATCTAAATCTTTAATTAAAGACTGTAAAAATTAATTTATTTATGCTAGATTGAATTTGTGGCTGTACAGAGCATATGTACCAATTACTTTTTGCTAAACTGCCCTTTGTGAAAGTACACTGTGCTAAATGATAAATTTATTTTAAATCATATTATGTTACATTTTTTTTTAATGATAAATATATTTTTCTATTTTACAGCTAAATTTGGAGCCAATGCTATTCTTGGAGTGTCCTTGGCAGTCTGTAAGGCCGGTGCCGCTGCCAAAGGTGTTCCTTTGTACCGACACATCGCCGACTTGGCTGGTAACAAAGAGGTTATCCTACCCGTTCCATCATTCAACGTGATCAATGGCGGTAGCCACGCTGGTAATAAACTGGCCATGCAGGAATTCATGATCCTTCCAACAGGTAAGAACTATTATCGATATGTGTTTATCTTCAAAATTGGTTCAATAGGAAACCCATTGGTCTGAAATTTACAAGCTGTTTTATTGAGTGAAAAAAACCAATGTTTTGAGATTGCATTCTGTATGATATGATTATTGTAAGTGTGCAAGTTCAAACTTTTTTGGTTTAAGATTAAGACCATGGTTTTCTATTTTCACAAGGCTAGCTTATCAGATAGGTATGTTTTTTCAATGATTAAAAAAAAAATTGAGAAATGAGGGGAAGGGCTTTAACAAACATTTGATAAGAAAAAATAACCTATTAAGTATTTAATCTTTTTTTTTTCAAATAATAATGAACCAGAAACTGCATCTTACTACTATGGGTTTGAATCCCGCGAGGGTCTTTGGATTCTTTCATGTGAGGAGAGATCTTGCTAGCTAACAGAACGTTGGTGGTTCTACAAAGTTTGTGCCTGAAAAATGTACAGAAGGGCATCTGAGGTCTTCCTCCACCAGTAAAGCTGGAAAGTCTCCATATAACATATAATGTGTTGGTAAAACCTAATAAAAAAAGATCCAGAAACATGCTTTTGATGTTTTTTGTTAGCTCACCTGTCACAAAGTGACAGGGTGAGCTTTTGTGATCGCTTTTCGTCCGGCGTCCGTCCGTCCGTCCGTCCGGCGTCCGTCCGTCGTCCGTCCGTAAACTTTTGCTTTAAATGACATCTCCTCATAAACCACTGAGCCAATTTCATCCAAACTTCACAGGAATGTTCCTTTGGTGGTCACCTTTAAAAATTGTTCAAAGAATTTAATTCCATGCAGAACTCTGGTTGCCATGGCAACCGAAAGAAAAATCTTTAAATATCTTCTTTTAAACAACCCTAAGAGCTAGAGCTTAGATATTTGGCATGAAACATCTTCTAATGAGTGTCTACCAAGTTTGTTCAAATAAAAGCCCTGGGGTCAAAATTGGCCCCGCCCGGGGGGTCATTGATTTTCCCTATATGCATATAGTAAAAACTTAAAAAGATCTTCTTTTAAAGAACTGTAAGAGCTAGAGCTAAGATTTTTGGCATGGAACATTTTCTAGTGAGTGTCTACCAAGTTTGTTCAAATAAAAGCCTGGGGTCAAAATTGGCCCCGCCCCGGGGGGTCATTGATTTTCCCTATATGCATATAGTAAACACTTTAAAAATCTTCCTTTAAAGAACTGTAAGAGCTAGAGCTTAGATATTTGGCATGAAACATCTTCTAGTGAATGTCTACCAAGTTTGTTCAAATAAAAGCCCTGGGTCAAAATTGGCCCGCCCGGGGGGTCATTGATTTTCCTATATGCATAAAGTAAAAACTTACAAATCTTCTTTTTAAAGAACCCAAAGAGCTAGAGCTTAGATATTTGGCATGAAACATCTTCTAGTGAATGTCTACAAGTTTGTTCAAATAAAAGCCCTGGGGTCAAAATTGGCCCGCCCTGGGGGTAATTGATTTTCCCTATATGCATATAGTTTAAACTTAAAAAATCTTCTTTTAAAGAACCGTAAGAGCTAGAGCTTAGATATTTGGCATAAAACATCTTCTAGTAAATGTCTACCAAGTTTGTTCAAATAAAAGCCCTGGGGTCAAAATTGGCCCCGCCCCAGGGGGTCATTGATTTTCCCTATATGCATATAGTAAAAACTTATAAAATCTTCTTTTTAAAGAACCAAAAGAGTTTAGAGCTAAGATATTTAGCATGAGACATGTTCTAATGGGTGTCTACCAAGTATGTTCAAATAAAAGCCCTGGGGTCAAAACTGGCCCCGCCCCGGGGGTCATTGATTTTCCTTATATACATAGCAAAAACTTAAAAATCTTCTTTGAAAAAACCCAAATAACTAGAGTTTAGATATTAAGCATGAAACATCTTTAAGTAAATATCTACAAAGTTTGTTCAAATAAAAGCTCAGGGGTCAAAACTGGCCCTGCCCGAGGGGTGTCATTGTTTTTTACTCTATGTGTATAGTAAAAACTTTAAAAATCTTCTTTTAAAAAACCCAATGAGCTAGAACTTAGATGTTTTGCATGAAACATCTTCTTATGGGTGTCTACCAAGTCTGTTCAAATAAACAAATAAAAGCCCTTGGGTAAAAATTGGGCCGGGGGGGGGGGGGGCTATATACAGGTGAGCGACCTCAGGGCCATCATGGCCCTCTTGTTTGTTTTATTTTGGATATTTTTGCCGCTATGTCACATTTATTCAGCATGTACGGTATGTTAAATTTCATCCTGATTTTTACAGGGGCTTCATCCTTCACTGAGGCCATGAAAATGGGAACAGAGGTGTATCATCATCTGAAAAGCGTTATCAAGAAAAAGTATGGCCAAGATGGTAAGAATTATTTGCTTACAATTAGATTTTTAAAATTTTTAGTGTTCAAAGTGCAGTGTGACCATGGTCTATATTGTTTGGTTGACCAACCAACTTTTAAAATTTGTTTTCTCAAAAATAAGTGTTAATGGACATAATTATGTTGAAGCTCTCCTGTTTGATCTAAAGTCTATAGTATTTACTTTAATGAGGTCAAATGCCCCCCAGTTACCTGATAATATGCCCCCATGGCAGGGCAGTTGTTCCTGGGAAGGAAATTTTGTTGTGCATATGAACTAATGGGACATTGACAGTTGTGTATGCACACTAGTACAGTCATGCCATCTCAACAATATTAAGTACAGAAGTCTATGATTCACTATTTTCTTCAGTAAAAAACTCTATGCTTTAGTAACTTGTCTTAATGGAAACGTACATTACTTTAAAATGAGCTGAATTAGGATGAAACTGTATTCTATATTATTCTTAAAGGCACATAATGCCTTAAAAATGATTATAGTTTTCATTAATTTGAATTTGATAACATTAAAATAATGGTTTTACAGCATCACCCTATGAAAGTAGTGCTGACTGTAAAATTATTTGCCATAAAAGAAAAATTTAAACAAAGTAGTATTGTTGTATTGTTAAACATCCATACAAAATACTAAATCCCTATAAAAGTATTAATTGCCAAAAAAAGTAACAGAACACCAAAACTGAAAAGTTATTATGACATAAAAATTAAATATTTCTTGGGCATAATACAGGGCAACAGATATGCCAACAAATACTATGACTTTTGCCAAGGGTCAAGGGGGGATATTTCAATCTATAGGTTGAAAGTAAATGATTTTGAAAGCATTTTTACTGATGATATAGATCGCCAATCTGTTAATAATGAAAACCCTGATAATGGGCCTTAAAGAAACTGTCAACGCATGCACACTCTTTAGAAGTTTTTGTTTCATTACAGCGTGCAATGTGGGAGATGAAGGCGGATTTGCTCCAAACATACAGGACAACAACGAGGGCCTGAAACTCCTCTCTGAGGCTATTGAAATTGCTGGGTACACTGGCAAGATCAAAATTGGCATGGATGTAGCAGCATCCGAATTCTGCAAAGATAAATTGTACGATCTAGACTTCAAGAACAAAGATTCCGACAAAACAAAATTTGTAAGGATTATTACTTTTTTAGCTCGACTTTTCTATGAAAAGGGGAGCTATCCTACTCGCCCCGGCGTCGGCGTCGGCGTCACACCTTGGTTAAGTTTTTCGTACCACCCCACTTTATTTCAGAAGTATTACAAGTATGGCTTTGAAACTTACCATACTTGTTCACCATCATAACCTCCATCTACAGACAAGAGTACATAACTCTGTCAAGGTTTTTGACAGAATTATGGCCCTTTTTTGACTTAGAAAGTGTATTGAGCTTGGTTAAGTTTTTTGTACCACCTCACTTTATTTCAAAACCATTGGAGGTATTGCTTTGAAACTGACCATACTTGTTTACCATCACGACCTTCATCAACAGACAAGAGGACATAAACTCTGTCAAGGTTTTTGACAGAATTATGCCCCTTTTTGACTTAGAAAATACATTGAATATGGGTAAAATCCACTTATTGCCTTAACCCTTTGAGATATTGCTTTGAAACTTTTAATGCTATTTCACATCATTACCCCATCTGTACGCAAGAGAAGGTAACTCTGTCAAGGATTTGTTTTAAAAATTAAGGCCTTTTATCGACTTAGAATCTTGGTTAAGTTTTTTAGTACCAGTCCACTTTTTGACTGAACTGTTTGAGATATTAATTTGAAAGTTGGAATACTTGTTTACAATCATGATTCCAAACATGTCCAGGAGAAGGTAATTCTGTCAAAGATTTTATTTGAATTATGGCCCTTAACTGTCAATGTTTTGTATTATAGGCAAGCACTAAAAAACTTAAAAATCTAAAAAAATTCATTCCTATCCACTTGTTCACTTTACCATAAATTATGTCATATAAACATTGCTGTAATATTCAAGGGTATCAAACAACTAGTTCACTTTAAAAATACAGAGATTCTTGTATTGCCTTTTACTGCAAAAACTTTTTTTATTGGCAAGCAATAAAAAAGTCGAGCGCGCTGTCTTACGGACAGCTCTTGTTTTATCCCCCCCCAGGTTGACTGATCGGGAAGGGTGTATTTAATGTCAGTGTCACCAAGATCAAGGCATCCCAAAAGCTAGTTCTTGCTGTCAAAGCTTAATTACTTATAAACTTCTTTTTTATCATTTTTTCATTGATCTGGTGCGACATAAAAAATTTTTGATCAGACCCTATATAAAACCTAAACATAATAAGATACTTTGTTCAAATTTATTCTTTTCCTAATAAATTGTTGTGCATTATTTGATAAAATAGTCAATTCAATACCATTTTAGACCATTTAATGTTTTAAATTTAAATTGCGTATTAATATTATTAAATATTATACTGCAAAACATTAATTTCACGGACTGATGTTGGCCTGTCACAGTATAAATAATGGGAACACTTAAGACCTAAAGCTACCTTAAGGCATGGCATACATTTCAACATAGCACTTTTTAAAGTTTATTTTTCACATTGTTTCTGAAATTGGTCAAAGTATGGTTTGAAAATATGCATGGGTAAAAGCTTTCCAGATTATTCCAGAATTTTGGATTTTTTGTTTCAGACTTAAGCTCTGTATGAAAAATAACAGCCATCTTTCTGTTTGAAATTGCTCAAGTAATATGTGAACCTATAAAGCCTTGTTACAACACAGGACATGAATTACTAAATTACTTATTGCAGCTGTCATCTGATAAGCTTGGGGACTTGTATAAAGATTTCATCAAGAATTACCCAATAGTTTCCATTGAAGATCCCTTTGACCAGGATGACTGGGAAGCATATACAAAACTCACTGGCGAAACAGACATACAGATTGTGGGGTAAGGATGAACAAGTAGCTTTTACCTGATGGAACCAAAAGTGATCAGTCTTTGCAACCAGCATAGAATCAGGCCAGCCAGCGGTTATTATCCCCCGCCGAAAATTTTCGGCGGAGGATATAGAAATAGTCTCCGTCCGTCCGTCCTTCCGTCCGACATTTTTGTCCGGAGCATATCTCTAAAAGTATTTGAGTTATCAACTTGAAACTTCATAGGTGGATAGACCTCATTGAGGAGGAGTGCAGTGCTCAAGAATGATAACTCTACCTTGCATGATTTTTGAGTTATTCCCCTTTGTTATTTTTCAAAATTGATTTTTGTCCAGAGCATAACTCCAAAAGCCTATGAGATATTAACATGAAACTTCATAGGTGCATAGATCTCACTCAGGAGGTGTGCAATGCACATGAATGATAACTACCTTTCATAATTTTTGAGTTATTGCTCTTTGTTATTTTTCATACCTAATTTTTCACCTGAGTGGAGCATACTCAAAAAGTGTTTGAGATATCAACATGAAAATGTCATAGGTGGATAGATTTATTGAGGAGGAATGTTATATGTGGATAGATATCTTATTGAGGAGGAGTGCAGTGCACAAGAATGATAACTCTACCTTGCATGATTTTTGAGTTATTGCCCTTTGTTATTTTTCAAAATGGATTTTTGTCCAGAGCATAACTCCAAAAGCCTATGAGATATTAACATGAAACTTCATAGGTGCATAGATCTCACTCAGGAGGTGTGCAGTGCACATGAATGATAACTCTACCTTTCATAATTTTTGAGTTATTGTCCTTTGTTATTTTTCATACCTAATTTTTCACCTGAGTGGAGCATAACTCAAAAAGTGTTTGAGATATCAACATGAAATGTCATAGGTGGATAGATCTTATTGAGGAGGAATGTTATATGTGGATAGATCTTATTGAGGAGGAGTGCAGTGCACAAGAATGATAACTCTACCTTGCATGATTTTTTGAGTTATTGCCCTTTGTTATTTTCAAAATGGATTTTTGTCCAGAGCATAACTCCAAAAGCCTATGAGATATTAACATGAAACTTCATAGGTGCATAGATCTCACTCAGGAGGTGTGCAGTGCACATGAATGATAACTCTACCTTTCATAATTTTTTGAGTTATTGCCCTTTGTTATTTTTCATACCTAATTTTTCACCTGAGTGGAGCATAACTCAAAAGTGTTTGAGATATCAACATGAAATGTCATAGGTGGATAGATCTTATTGAGGAGGAATGTTGCTTGCGCAAGAATGATAACTCTTCCCTATACAATTTTTGAGGTATTGCCCTTTGTTTTTTTCATGCTATTTTGTCCAGAGCTTATCTCAAAAAGTATTTGAGGTATCAACTTGAAACTTCAAAGGCGGATGGATCTCATTGAGGAGGAGTGCAGTGCTTAAGAATGATAACTCTACCCTGCATTAATTTTGAGTTATTGCCCTTTGTTATTTTTCAAAATTAATTTTTGTCCAGAGCATAACTCAAAAAGCCTTTGAGATATTAAAATGAAACATTCATAGGTGCATAGATCTCACTCAGGAGGTGTGCACTGCACAAGAATGATAACTCTACCTTTATAATTTTTTGAGTTATTGCCCTTTGTTATTTTTTCATACTTAATTTTTCAATTCAATTTTTTTCTCAAAAAGTATTTGAGGTATCAACTTGAAACTTCATAGGTGGATAGATTTTACTGAGGAGGGATGCAGCACACAAGAATGATAACCTACCCTGCATTATTTTTCAGTTATTGCCCTTTGTTTTTTTCAGCCATCAGTATTCACATAGGTTTCAAATCTGTAATCACTATAGCCATCAGTTTTCATTACCAAAAGACCTCTTAAAATAGAATTATTCTGTTTTACTACATATACATTCTTCCAATGAGCAAACACATTCGGCGGGGGATGGCCATGTTGACATGGCTCTTGTATTTAATGATTATAGTTTGAACCAGCTCTATACCATAGCTGAATGTTCATATGAGCCGCGCCATGACAAGACCAACATAATGCGTTTGCAACCAGCATGGATCCAGACCAGCCTGCGCATCCATGCAGTCTGATCAGGATCCATGCTGTTCGCTTACAAACTTTATAACAAGTAGAGAAACTGACAGTGAACAGCATGGATCCTGATCAGACTGCATGGATGCCCAGGCTGGTCTGGATCCATGCTGGTCGCAAACGCACTATGTTGGTTTTGTCATGGCGCGACTCAAATATATTGTTATTGAAATGATTATAAATTCAATTATACTGTTCAAAACTTAAAGCAGTGTAAAGTAATATCAAAAACTTCGGTTGGATAAAGGTTTATTTAGTACTTTTCCTGAATCATGTTTTAAGTTAAAAAGTCAACTAATTAGTGTCTTGTATCAGTGAGCTATATTGCTGGCTTTTATGAGATCAACAAAAGCAAAAATTTGTTTAGGCAATTTTGAAAAAAAATACATAAAATACAAGCCTGATATCATATCTATGAGTTGATCATGTGTTGAAGTTAATCCCTTGTTTTTACAGCATGAGTAAGATACAATCTGGAACGCACCTAATGTAGATCTTCTGTAGATCTCCTGTCTGTGGTGCTTCTAGATTGCTGATCGACCTCCATCATCAGCATGGTGCTCGCCGTCATTGATATTTTGGCCCTTATCCATGTATATCTGCTGGCGATTGGCCCACCGTCTTGTCTTACGGTGTGGAGGTCGATTGCTTCCAGCTCTTCTCCTTTCGTCTCAGCCACAGCCAGCTAGACGCAAGCTCGGTAGCTTGGCTCAGTCTCTGGATTGTCCTACGTCTATCTCTTCCAGTAGTTCCTATCGCTGTCATCAGTCGGCACACAGATTGCGAACAGAACCCTCTCACACCTACTTCAATAGGAAACAGCCATGTATACCAGCCTCTCTGTCTACATTGGTTGAGTAGCTCCGTATACTTTGCTTTTTTCCTCTCGTAGGCCTCTTCACATCTTGTCTCCCAAGGTACTGTTAACTCGATCATGATGAGTTTCTTTCCTTTTTCAGACCACAGTATGATATCTGGTCTTAAGTTGGTCTGGACAATACTTGGGAAAACAAGCTTCTTGCCAAGATCCACCTCCATGTTCCAACCTGTTGCGCCATCTAGAATTGATGGTTGGTGTGGCGACTGTGTCTTGGCAGTTTCACCCGGTTTTACAAAGTTAATCTGACAAGCTTGGGGTTACTCCTTCGTTCCTTTTTCCTTTCACCTTCAAGCCAGTCAGCCACCTCCCTAAGGACGTTGTCATGACGCCATCGGTACCTTCCTTGTGTTAGTGCAGTGGAACAGGAAGAAAGAACATGCTCCAGAGTGCCAGGACGATCGCACAGGTCACATGCTGGATCCGTTGTAAGTCCCCACCTGTGGAGATTAGCTGGGGAGGGTAAGAGGTCATGGACTGACCTGATAAGAAAGGATAACCGTAATGGTTCATACTTCCATATGTCTTCCCAAGTCAGCTTCCTGTCTATGGTGTTCCATGAAGTCCATGCTCCCTGTGCTCCCATCCCTACTGCTCTAGCCTGTCTTGCACTCTCCTCTGCCCCCCTGACTTCTGACTGAATCATGGCACGTCTCTCCTTCTGGTCTGCCTGGTTCCACAGGGGTGTCTTGGTAGCACCAATTCCCTGTCGTCCACAGCGGTTATTCCCACAATGTCCTTTGAGCTTAAGTGAGCTTTCAGCCTGGTTAACGGTCTCTGATGCTGACCACTTCCTGCCTGTACGGGTTACAATCCCTCCCGCTTCCCGGATTTGCTCATCTGGGGAATCTCTGAGGGTGAGCACCAATCTTGTCTTCGCTGTCTTGAATTCCTCTACCAGTGAAGAAAATGGGAGTTGAAGCTGATTGCTCTTTCCATACAGTCCTACACCGGAGAAACTGGGTGGTATTCCTAACCACTTGCGGAGGTGTCTGCTTGTAATCCTCTCTAAGGCTTCAATTTTTGAGCTTGGTATCTCGTAACAGCATCATAGGCCAGATTAGCCTTGGAAGTAAGGCATGCTGGTATAACCAGGCTTTGAACTTCCCAGGGAGATTGCTTTTGTCAATTTTCTTAAGCCCGTCTTCCACCTGGGTTTCTAGCTTCTTGACATTGTCACCATCTTGCAGGCTTGCATCAAACCACTTCCCTAGGCACTTGATTGGACTCTTAGTGATAGATGGGATATCCTCATTCTGTACTCTGAGAATGAACCTATCTGTGGTTTTGCCATTCTTGATAATGAGAGATCTGGACTTTGCGGCCTTGAATTTCATTCTAGCCCATGAAGCGACATCTGTCAGGGCTGTTAACATCCATCTCGCCTGTACATGGGTGGTTGTGGTGAGAGTGAGGTCATCCATAAAACCTCGACTGGATGGCAAGTAAATCCCTGAATCTGTCTTTGGTCCACGAGTCTCTCTTAGAGCAGCGTTGATTAGAAGATTCATTCCCATAACGAAGAGTACCACGGAAACTGTACATCCGGTTACAATACCTTTCTCCAACTTCTGCCACTTTGTCAGCTGGTCACCAACAGAGAACCGGAGTTTGATGCCATCCAAGTAGCTGGTGATGATTTTCTGCACATGGTTTGGGACATGGTAGTGTTGGAGGGCTGTGTAGATCAGCTGGTGTGGGATGGAACCATATGCGTTAGCTAGATCAAGCCAAACTACTGTGAGGTTCTTCTTCCCTGCCTTTGCCTCTCTATGAGCTGTGAAATAGCGCTTGTGTGCTCTACACAACCTGAGAACCCGGGCACTCCTCCCTTCTGGATGGAAGTGTTGATGTACTTGTTGGATGTGAGGTAAGATGTAAGTCTTCTTGCAAGGATAGCAAAGAAAATCTTCCCTTCAACATTGAGCAATGAGATGGTCCGGAACTGGTTGACATTCTTGGAGTTCCTTTCCTTGGGAGTAAATATTCCCTCTGCTTCCTTCCAGGCATCTGGTATTTCACCTTTCCTCCAAAC